AATGAAGAAAGTAAAACTATGAAAAAGTACTACGTCTTCACGCGGTCTTCATTCTTCTTCGCTGCAGCCACTTGTTTCTCGAACAACACACCGTAGCGAATGCTTCAGCACAACCAATTTTTGGGGGTCGTCCATGACACAAAATCTTCTCGACATCAACCATTCTTCCCTGTTGTGCAGAAAATCATCGCATGATTTTATAGCAAACTCCTCAATACTCCAGGGACAAATTTACTCACCGGCAAACACATTGGTCCCTCAACTATTTTGTCCCATGATCTCTAAAACACTCAAGGGGCACTAAATTGCACTAGCATGACACAGCAATTGTTATGATCCCAAAAGTGAAGTCCCCAAAGAAGGTCACCCAAGTTAGGCCGATTAGTCCATGTAGTGTAGTATCTAAAGTTATATCAAAGATGGTGGCGACACGCTTGAAGTTGATTGTACCTGAGGTAATCAACCATGCTCAAAGTGCTTTGGTCCCAAGTAGGCTCATTATGGACAATGTATTGATGGTCTATGAGTGCTTGAACACAATTAAGAACAAACGGGGAGAACTATTGTTATAACTTTTCTTCTCCTCTTAGGTTTCCACAGGGGCAATTTTTTTCCTTTGGTAGAAATTTCATACTCTTAATAAAAAAGAAAAATGCTAGAAAATATATTTCATAGTTTACATCCCACAAAGTAGAAATTGGCATCGGAAGAAGAAGCAGGAGCGAGAATGTTGTCGATAGATGTGCCCAACCGAGAATCTTCCTCCTGATTATTTTCTTGCTTCATGGCCGTTGAGTCTGCATTATTAGGATAATAGCCAAAGGCCAAAGTAGTGTTTGATTAACACTCCGCTGAGTAATTCTAGTATGGTGAAGACCATTTAAGATGTCCTCATCTTCTTTACGCAAGTCTCAGTTCAGGTCGATTTGCAAAGTAAATATGTGATAGTTGTCTTCCAAACTTTAACTAAAAGTGCCCCGCTTCGGTACAACCCCCCCCCCCCCTCCCACTAAATGTATAAAGGCCAATATGGACTTTTGACTAGCTATACCCATTTTTGTATGTATAGTGGGCCCCCCACTGGAACGTATACGCAGTACGTACTCCGATTGGGCCGACCCATGGAGGTGGCTACAGTAGCGATCGCACCCGGCAGCGATCTAATATCTGAAAAAATAACAAAAGCGCGACCTCTCAAGGATACGAACTACAGACCTGTAGCTCACAAAGAAGAGTTGCTAACTAATCGACCTCCGAAGCGTTGGTGACTAATAATGAGCGCGTCACTTTAAGAACTCTATGCAACACAGAATCCGCGTAGTTTTTGGATTTTTTATTTTTTTCTTGGAAATTGTGATTTTTTTTCAAATGCGAGTAATGTCTGAAAATGCGAAAATTGTCTGACAACTCGAACAAACTTTGAAAATTCAATAT